CTTCGGTCACTTGTACTTAAATACTCACCACCACAACTATATCATATTTACATATGATGTTAATATTAAATCTAATATAGCTTCCTCTCTTCGGTCACTTGTACTTAAATACTCACCACCACAACTCTATCATATTTACATAAGATGTTAATATTAAATCTAATATAGCTTCCTCTCTTCGGTCACTTGTACTTAAATACTCACCACCACAACTCTATCATATTTACATACGATGTTAATATTAAATCTAATATAGCTTCCTCTCTTCGGTCACTTGTACTTAAATACTCACCACCACAACTCTATCATATTTACATAACATGCTAATATTAAATCTAATATAGCTTCCTCTCTTCGGTCACTTGTACTTAAATACTCACCACCACAACTGTATCATATTTACCTAAGATGTTAATATTAAATCTAATATAGCTTCCTCTCTTGTAAGTTCCATCACCAGTTGGTGTATAAAAGTATCCTGAAAATTTTCCAAAAAACCTATTCCCCTTACTGTCAGACTAGTAATTTTCCTAATACCCCTGATATTAAAATCCCCATAATAATAACATCTTTACATAATAATAACATTCTGATCTCATTATACAGTTTCTCATTAACTTATACATTATGACCTGGTGGTCTATAATAAATCCCTTTATATCCACTAACACTAACCCAAACTGACTCAACCTCAGTGCTGTTTTCTTTAATATGCTCTATCTACAGCTACGTAAACATGCTTTACAGGAAACTACCCATGGTTAATATAAAATCATAAAGTCAAGAACAAACTTAATTTGATAAGAGAGTGCCAAAAAAGACAGACAAATCAACTATATTGCATTTACATAACTTAAGCATACATCAATGACCAAAGTAAAAACATACATCAAACAGTGCTTTGACATGCTTTTTATCCATGCAGATATTGAGCTGCTTGAGCAAAGAGGTACATTCGGCAAAGTTTAGGCTTCCATTGCCGTTCACATCAGCTTTTCGAAATTGATCCTTGAGCCATCTAAATCAATCAACAAAGGGCCTTATTATTAGCAAATCACAAAAATAAATTCTGGATGCCATTTGTTTTTTCATGTCTAAGTAATATAATTTCTCAGAAAATATTTATATAACTATTTTAACCATTTGTAACCACTTGCCATAACAATAACCATGCATAATAAATCAAAACTGACAACTGTCTTTTCTCTTAACTCACACTAAACTACAAAAAACAAGATTTATCCACAACCAATAATGTTATGTTTTAGCAGCATCATTTCTAACTTACTTTTTGGCAAAGATTCCAATGGAACAATAGATCAATTAACTGAAACTTTCAGGAAGCATAAAGTATCAAAATTTGGAATTTTACAGTCAAATACTTAAAGTAATTTATCTTAAAAAAAACAAAAACATTGATCATTAGGAACACAGCGAATAATTTATTATTTATAGTTCAGTACTGGTTTCTGGTTGTTGATCACTAAGAACACAGTAAATAAGCTATTATTTACAGTTCAGTATTGGTTTCTGGTTGTTGATCACTAGAAACTCAGTGAATAATTTATTATTTACAGTTCACTATTGGTATCTTGTTGTTGATCACTAGGAACACAGTTAATAATTTATTATTTACTAGCTCAGTACTGGTTTCTGGTTGTTGATCACTAGGAACACAGTTAATAATTTATTATTTACAGTTCAGTACTGGTTTCTGGTTGTTGATCATTAAGAACACAGTGAATAATTTATTATTTACAGTTCAGTATTGGTTTCTGGTTGTTGATCACTAGGAACACAGTTAATAATTTATTATTTACAGTTCAGTACTGGTTTCTGGTTGTTGATCACTAGGAACACAGTGAATAATTTATTATTTACAGTTCAGTACTGGTTTCTGGTTGTTGATCACTAGGAACACAGTGAATAATCTATTATTTACAGTTCAGTATTGGTTTCTGGTTGTTGGTCACTAGGAACACAGTGAATAATTTATTATTTACAGTTCAGTACTGGTTTCTGGTTGTTGATCACTAGGAACACAGTGAATAATCTATTATTTACAGTTCAGTATTGGTATCTGGTTGTTGATCACTAGGAACACAGTGAATAATTTATTATTTACAGTTCAGTACTGGTTTCTGGTTGTTGATCACGAGGAACACAGTAAATAATTTATTATTTACAGTTCAGTATTGGTTTCTGGTTGATGATCACTAGGAACACAGTGAATAATTTATTATTTACAGCTCAGTACTGGTTTCTGGTTGTTGATCACTAGGAACACAGTAATAATTTATTATTTACAGTTCAGTATTGGTTTCTGGTTGTTGATCACTAGGAACACAGTGAATAATCTATTATTTACAGTTCAGTATTGGTTTTTGGTTGTTGATCACTAGGAACACAGTGAATAATTTATTATTTACAGCTCAGTACTGGTTTTTGGTTGTTGATCACTAGGAACACAGTGAATAATTTATTATTTACAGCTCAGTATTGGTTTCTGGTTGTTGATCACTAGGAACACAGTGAATAATTTATTATTTACAGTTCAGTATTGGTTTCTGGTTGTTGATCACTAGGAACTCAGTGATGAATTTATTATTTTTCAGATAAAATATAAATTCAATCCAAATGTTAATTCAGTTGCTATTAAAGAACAAGCCTTGTCACATAAAAAGAAAATGTAAATGTACTAAATAACAATTAAACTAATTGAATATTTATGAACCTAAAAGTAATGTGTTGTATTGGCAGTAATCTCGTACTCATTGTACTCTAGTTAATGCCTGAAGTCAACTGAATATTTTCAAACTAAATAGATTCACTTTTGGGTTTTACTATTCATTTGCTTTCAAATTAAATTAATATCGTTTATTCATAGCACAAATTCAATCAGATTGTGTTGTCTTTTGTAAAGAAATATTAATCGACTAGACGATACAGTACATTAAAAGTAATGTGATGCCAAACGTATTTTCATTCTACTGCATTAAAGGGGATGTCTTTCAAAGATATAACACATTACAAAATTTAGGACAACAAAAAATGGTTTAGAAAAAAATCACCATAGGTGTGTGAATGAAATAAAATGTCTAAGATAAACAATCTTTGATTTAGTAAAAAATAATGTTGTGTTTCAGAAAATTAAGTTTTTATTACTTTTTTAATTTCAGTAATTCTTTCTTTAATGTTTATCTAACGGGAAAAGTTACTTATACAAAATAAATACCATTTTAAAACTTTCTTAAAATGTTTCTTTAGTATAAAATTGTTTATAAAACATTCATTAACAACTAAAGACATACACAATGTTTTGTTTCTGTTGCTGACAACTTCTGGTATTACCTTACATTTCGGTGTTATAAAAATTCATGTAGAAAGAAAAACATTGCATAACATTCTAATGACGTGGTTGTACGTACTTTTTAGATACAAACACAAACCTGTAACAATTAGAATACATGAACTTAATGTTTTAAGCTAATATAGTTTGCTAATATACAATTAAATACATAATCAGTGTACTTTAAACGATGTTTAAATACATAAACTTTACCTATCGTACTCCCACTCCTTATGCATGTTTTTACACATAGCAACTAGATGAGTCAATCCTCGCACCCACGTGTCTCGTACTTCCATACTGTGTGCCATGAAGTATATAATTTCATTATATTCCACAACAACATAAAAAAATAAATCCTCGTTAGCTGATCTTTTTCCTGAGATTTTAGGAGCATCAGTTTTCCACCCTTTACATACAGCTTCAATATCACAAATGTCCACTGTAAGGAAGTAGGTGTTTTTACTAACACAGATAACACTTAATGCACAACCAAGAATCTTAGATAACCCTCTTTAATTTCTAGATAAACAATTTATTATATAAGGTGCGTATTGTGTGAAGATCATGTGACACTAGCCAACATTGATTTTATATTACCTTTAATAAGTATCCATCAGAAGTTAAATACTCGTAAAAAATTTACAGATATTTTTACATTTCTCCTATATTCAGTTTTATTAATTTTTTAGTTTAACATTTTATCATATTTCATGATCTGTGTTCATTATTATTGTTACTCTTATAAGCTGTAGCTCTCTGTAATACATCTCACATTTCTGAGATTCTAAAGCAGTCTACAATTATATAGATTGAGTGTAACATATATTCTCTCATAATGGCTGGAGACGGCTTGAATGGGTAATGAAGAAAAACTTTACTACAACAG